AAAATAAATAATAAAAAATAATAATAATAAAAATAAATAATAAATAATAAATATAAATAAATAATAATAAATAATAAATAATAATAAAATAATAATTAAAAATAAATAAAATAAAATAAAATAAAATAATTAAATAAATAAAATAAATAAAAATAAATAATAATAAACAAATAATAAAAATTATAATAATAAAAATATCAATAAAATAATAAATATAAATAAATAATAATAAATAATAAAATAATAATAGAATAAAATAATAATAAAATAATAATAATTAATGATAGGATAATAATAAAATAAATAATAAAAAATAAAAATAAAGTGAGTCATAAAGATGCAGTGACTTTTAGAAAATAGAACAGTTTTTTGAAAATAGGAGAGAGACAGAGAGAAAAAGAGAGAGAGAGAGAGAGAGAATCCTTAGCTAGGTCAGGCTCAGAGTAGGCTAACGTGAAAGTATTCCTAGTTTTTTGGGGGGGACTTTCTGGGAAAACTGGGTTTTCAAAAGTACCAAGGAACTGCATATTTTTCTGCGCTGTCTTGCTGATGTGAGAGCCCAACTGTGTTGTTTTCAAGAGCAAACTGGGTTTCCAAAAGTATTGAGGAACTGCACATTTTCCTGCACTGCCTTAATGCGAGAGCCCAAGTGTGTTGTTTTCAAGAGCAAACTGGGTTTTCAAAAGTATCGAGGAACTGCATATTTTTCTGCGATGTCTTCTTGATGTGAGAGCCCAAGTGTGTTGTTTTCAAGAGCAAACTGGGTTTTCAAAAGTATCGAGGAACTGCACATTTTCCTGCACTGCCTTAATGTGAGAGCCCAAGTGTGTTGTTTTCAAGAGCAAACTGGGTTTCCAAAAGTATCGAGGAACTGCATATTTTTCTGCGCTGTCTTGCTGATGTGAGAGCCCAAGTGTGTTGTTTTCAAGAGCAAACTGGGTTTCCAAACGTAGCAAGGAACTGCACATTTTCCTGTGCTGCTTTAATGTGAGAGCCCAAGTGTGTTGTTTTCAAGAGCAAACTGGGTTTTCAAAAGTATCGAGGAACTGCATATTTTTCTGCGCTGTCTTGCTGATGTGAGAGCCCAAGTGTGTTGTTTTCAAGAGCAAACTGGGTTTTCAAAAGTTTCGAGGAACTGCACATTTTCCTGCACTGCCTTAATGTGAGAGCCCAAGTGTGTTGTTTTCAAGAGCAAACTGGGTTTTCAAAAGTATTGAGGAACTGCATATTTTTCTGTGCTGTCTTCTTGATGTGAGAGCCCAAGTGTGTTGTTTTCAAGAGCAAAGTGGGTTTTCAAAAGTATTGAGGAACTGCATATTTTTCTGCACTGCCTTAATGTGAGAGCCCAAGTGTGTTGTTTTCAAGAGCAAACTGGGTTTCCAAAAGTTTCGAGGAACTGCACATTTTCCTGCACTGCCTTAATGTGAGAGCCCAAGTGTGTTGTTTTCAAGAGCAAACTGGGTTTTCAAAAGTTTCGAGGAACTGCACATTTTCCTGCGCTGCCTTCTTGATGTGAGAGCCCAAGTGTGTTGTTTTCAAGAGCAAACTGGGTTTCCAAAAGTATCGAGGAACTGCACATTTTCCTGCACTGCCTTAATGTGAGAGCCCAAGGGTGCTATTTTCAAGAGCATTTTTCTCTCCCGCGAAGGATTCCGGAGACTGAGATCTTGTAGGTTGGATCTCTGACGACCTAAAATTTACTACCTTGGTGGGGGGTCCGTCCGCTCGGCTCTTGTTGAAATTAAATTTCCGTAAGAAATTGTATAATCGAAACCCAAGCACAGAAGTTTGTAAGTCTAAAAAAAAAAAAGAAAAAACAAAGAAACTGAAATCTAAGAAGACATTGAATAAGTGATAATTGGATAATAATGATCGTGGAATAATAAGACATCGAAATATTATTATTTTTTGGTTGATTTGTGGATTGATTTATTGATTTCTTCAGAAATTGAAATATCATTAAAAAAAAGTAACTGAAATCTCAGAAGACATTGAATAAGTGATAATTGGATAATAATGAAAATGGAATGATAAGACATCGAAATGTTATCATTTTGTGGTTGATTTATGGGTTGATTTATTGATTTCTTCAGAAATTGAAGTATCATAAAAAAATTGAAATCTCAGAAGACATTGAATAAGTGATAATTGGATAATAATGAAAATTGAATAATAAGACATCAAAATATTATTAATTTTGGTTGATTTAGGATTTATTGATATCTTCAGAAATTGAAATATTATTAAAAAAGAAATTGAAATCAAAGAAGACATTGAATAAGTGATAATTGGATAGTAATGAAAATTGAATAATAAGACATCAAAATATTATTAGTTTTGGTTGATTTAGGATTTATTGATTTCTTCAGAAATTGAAATATCACAAAAAAAGAAATTGAAATCAAAGAAGACATTGAATAAGTGATGATTGGATAATAATGAAAATTGAATAATAAGACATCAAAATATTATTATTTTTTGCTTGATTTATTGGTTGGTTTATTGATTTCTTCAGAAATTGAAATATCATTAAAAAAAAGAAATGGAAATCTAAGAAGACATTGAATAAGTGATAACTGGATAATAATGAAAATTGAATAATAAGACATCAAAATATTATTAATTTTGGTTGATTTAGGATTTATTGATTTCTACAGAAATTGAAATATCATAAGAAAAAAAATTGAAATCTAAGAAGACATTGAATAAGTGATAATTGGATAATAATGATCACGGAATAATAAGAAATTAAATATTATTATGTTTTTATTTATGGGTTGGTTTATTGATTTCTTCAGAAGTTGAAATATCATTAAAAAAATTGAAATCTAAGAAGATATTGAATAAGTGACGATTGGATAGTAATGATGATTGAATAATAAGAAATTAAATATTATTTGTTGTTGATTTATGGATTGATTCACCGATCTCTTCAGAAATTGCAATACCATTATTATTGAAATTCGACGGAAATCTTATTAAATTAAGGAGGGCTGAGAAGACACCGTCCTCGGGGAGCAGACTTTTATTTTTTCTTAATGTTTTAGAGACTTAGAGAAGGCGTTCTGATTTTAAAACGAAGTGGCCCGAAATTCTGTGGCATTTTCTGAAATCCAAGCGTGTTTCGGTCCAGGAAGGACATAAAAGGTCTCTGTGTCCTCTCAGATTTCACCATATGCCCCGGAATTACCCCATTCTGGGTCTCCCGTGAACACCAAGTCTGGGGCAAAAGTTGTGGTCTTGGGAAACCGGCCACTTCCTCCGCCTCCGGAAGCCTGCCCAGGCCTTCGGGGCCTGTTGACAGCCGACCTCGGAGACAGTTGCACAGCAGCTGCTGCGGTCAGGGGGGAAACTGAGGCTTCCGCTTTCAAAGCATCTCCTACACGCGGTGACAGATCACTGAGGAGCAGAGAGCCGAGAGGAGGCACAGGCTTAAGGGGGGAGAGAGAGAGAGAGAGAGAGAGAGAGAGAGAGAGAGAGAGAGAAAGGAAAGAAGAAAGGAAGGCTGGAGGCATGGGAGGAGGGAGGGAGACAGACGGAGGGATGGAGGGAGAGAAGGAAAGGAACAGAGAGGGAAAGGCGGAGGGGAGGGAAGGGAGAGAAAGAAAGAAAGAAAGAAAGAAAGAAAGAAAGAAAGAAAGAAAGAAAGAAAGAAAGAAAGACAGACAGACAAGGAAGGAAGGAAGGAAGGAAGGAAGGAAGGAAGGAAGGAAGGAAGGAAGGAAGGAAGGAAGAAAGAGCAAGAAGAAAGAAAGAAAGAGGGAAACAAAGAAAGAGGGAAACAAAGAAAGAGAGAGAGGGAAAGGAAAGGGAGGAAGGAAGGAAAGAAAGAAAGAGAGAGAGGGAAAGGAAAGGGAGGAAGGAAGGAAAGAAAGAAAGAGAGAGAAGGTAAGAAAGGAAAGAAGAAAGGAAGGAAGGACGCATGGGAGGAGGGAGGGAGACAGATGGAGGGATGGAGGGAGAGAAGGAAAGGAACAGAGAGGGAAAGTCGGAGGGGAGGGAAGGGAGAGAAAGAAAGAAAGAAAGAAAGAAAGAAAGAAAGAAAGAAAGAAAGAAAGAAAGAAAGAGAGAGAGAAAGAAAGAAAGAAAGAAAGAAAGAGAGAGAGAAAGAAAGAAAGAAAGAAAGAAAGAAAGAGAAAAAGGAAAGAAAGAAAGAAAGAAAGAAAGAAAGAAAGAGAGAGAGAAAGAAAGAAAAAGAAAAGAAAGAGAGAAAGAGGGAAAGGAAAGGGAGGAAGGAATGAAAGAAAGAAAGAAAGAGACGGTAAAGAAGGAAAGAAGAAAGGAAGGAAGGAGGCATGGGGGGAGGGAGGGAGACAGACAGAGGGATGGAGGGAGAGAAGGAAAGGAACAGAGGGAAAGTTGGAGGGGAGGGAAGGGAGAGAAAGAAAAAAGAAAGAAAGAAAGAAAGAAAGAAAGAAAGAAAGAAAGAAAGAAGAAAGAAAGAGAAGGAAGGAAGGAAGGAAGGAAGGAAGGAAAGAAAGGGAGGAGGGGGAAGAGAAAAAAAGAAGGAAAGAGAAATGAAGAAAATGAGTAGAATTTAGAAAAAATGAAGGAAAGAAAGGGAGAAACTGTGGAAAAGAAAGAAGAAAGAAGAAAAGAGAAACAGAAGAGAAGAATATAGAGAAATAGAGAAAGAAAGAAAAACAGACAGAAAGGAAGAAAGGGAGGAGAAGGAAGAGAAAGAAAGAAGAAAAGAGAAAGGAAGGAAAGAAGGAGTCTAATTTATAACAGAAGTGAAGGAAAGAAAGTAAGGGAGAAAGAGTGAAAGAAAGAAAAGAGAAATGAAAGAGATGAATATAGAAAAAGAAAAGAATGAAAGAAATAGAGAAAGAAAAAGAAAGGAAGGAAGGAAGGAAGGAAGAAAGAAAGAAAGAAAGAAAGAAAGAAAGAAAGAAAGAAAGAAAGAGAAAGAAAGAAAGGGGGAGGGAAGACAGAGAAAGAGAGAAAGAAGGGAAGAGAAAAGAAGGAAAGAAATAGAATTGAGAAAAGAAAAGATGGAAAGAAAGGGAGAAAGAGAAAGAAAAAAGAAAGATGGAAGAAAAGAGAAACGAAAGAGAAAAAGAAAAGAAGAGAGAAAGGAAGGGAGAGAAAGAAAGAAAAAGGAAGGAAGGAATGAAGGAAGGAAGGAGAAAAGATGGAGACAGAGAAAGGGAGAAAGGAAGAAGGAAGGAAGGAAGGAAGGAAGGAAGGAAGGAAGGAAGAAGGAAGGAAAGGAAGGAAGGAAGGAAGGAGGGAAGGAGGGAAGGAGGGAGAAAGAAAGAAAGAAAGAAAGAAAGAAAGAAAGAAAGAAAGAAAGAAAGAAAGAAAGAAAGAAGAATGGTAGGAAGGAAGGAAGGAAGGAAGGAAGGAAGGAAGGAAGGAAGGAAAGGAAGGAAGGAAGAAGGAAGGAAAGGAAGGAAGGAAGGAAGGAGGGAAGGAGGGAAGGAGGGAGAAAGAAAGAAAGAAAGAAAGAAAGAAAGAAAGAAAGAAAGAAAGAAAGAAGAATGGTAGGAAGGAAGGAAGGAAGGAAGGAAGGAAGGAAGGAAGGAAGAGATGGAAGGAAGGAAGGAAGGAAGGAGGGAAGGAGGGAAGGAGGGAAGGAGGGAAGGAGGGAAGGAAGGGAGAGAGAGATTCCTGCATTCAGGAATGAGTCCTGGCGGTGCTCGGGGGACCCTCGGGGATGCCGGGACTCGAACCCGGGTCGGCCTCGCGCCAGGCCAAGGCCCTCCCCCTCCCCCCTCGCGCTGTGCCGTGGCTCCAGCCCCCACCCTGGGGTGTCTCTGCCTTCCAGCCCAGCGTCCTCTCGCCCTGGGACTCGCCTGCGTCTCCGCCCAAGCCGGGCACCTGCGGCTGCACCTTTCGGCTCTGCCCGCTGCGCGACGGCGTGCAGTTCACGGTCCGCGGGACCCTGCGGGAGACCCCCGTGCAGGAAGGCCTGAGCTACGGCAACCCAGGTAGGGAAGCCCACCGCCCCCCACCGCAGGGCCAGCCCAGCTCTACGGGGTCCACACCCGGGTCTGCAGGCGGGCAGGGTCCCAGCGACTCCCTCCGGGTTCTGTTGTTCGAGGTCGAGAATATTGCAGTGAAATTTGGAGATGTCTGCTCCCTCCCGCCTTCCTGCCCTCTTCCCTTCCTTCTCCTCCTGTCCCATCCCTCCCTCCCTCCCTCCTTCCTGCCCGCATTCCCTCTCGCTTTCTCCTCCCTCTCTCCTTTCCTTTCTCCCTCCTTCTTTCTTTCCTCTCTTCCTCTGTGAATGGCACTGTGTGTGTGTCTGTGAATGACTGTCTGTGTGTCTGTCTGTGAATGACTCTGTGTGAGAATGGCTGTGTGTGTCTGTGAATGACTATGTGTGCGCCTGTGGATGACTGTGTGTGAATGGCTGTGTGTGCCTGTGAATGACTGTGTGTGAATGACTGTGTGTGAATAACTGTGTGTGTCTGTCAATAATTGTGTGCCTGTGAATGACTATGTGTGTGAATGACTGTGTGCACCTTTGAATGACTATGTGTGAATGGCTGTGTGTGCCTGTGAATGACTGTGTGTGAATGAGTGTGTGCCTCTGAATGACTGTGTGTGAATAACTGTGTGTGTCTTGAATGACTATGTGTGTGAATGACTATGTGTGTGCGCCCGTGAATGACTGAGTGTGAATAACTATGTGTGTCTGTCAATGATTGTGTGTCTGTGAATGACTATGTGTGTGAATGACTGTGTGTGTGCCTGTGAATGACTGTGAGTCTGTAGATGACTATGTGTGTGAATGACTGTCTGTGTGTCTGTGAGTGACTGTGTCTGTGAATGAGTATCTGTGAATGACTGTGTGTCTGTGAATGACTGTGTGTGAATGACTGTATGTCTGTGAATGACTGTGTGTGAATGACTGTATGTGTACCTGTGAGTAACTGTGTGTGAATGACTGTGTGTGTACCTGTGAGTAACTGTGTGTGAATGACTGTGTGTGCCTGTGAATGACTATGTGTGAATGACTGTGTGTCTGTGACTGTCTGTATGTCTGTGAATGACTGTGTGTGTCTGTGAATGACTGTGTGTCTGTGAATGACTGTGTGTGCCTGTGAATGCCTGTATGTGTGTGTCTATGAATGCCTGTGTGTGTGAATCACTATGTCTGTGAATGACTTGGGTATCTGTGAATGATGTGTGTGTCTGTGAATGACTGTGTGTCTGTGAATGATTGTGTGCCTGAGAATACTGTGTGTGTCTATGAATGACTGTGCCTGAGAATGACTGTGTGTGTGTCTATGAATGACTGTGTGTCTGTGAATGTCTCTGTGTCTGTGAGTGACTGTGTGTGAATGACTGTGTCTATGAATGACTGTGTGTCTGTGAATGTCTCTGTGCCTGAGAATGACTGTGTGTGTCTATGAATGACTGTGTGTTTGTGAATGACTGTGTGTGCCTGTGAATGACTGTATGCACCTGTGAATGACTGTGTGTGCCTGTGGATGGTGTGTGTGTCTGTGAATTACTGTGTGTGTGCATGGCTGTGTCTGTGAATGCCTGTGTATGTGTCTCTGAATGGTGTGTGTGTCTGTGAATGGCTGTGTCTGTGAATGACTGTGTCTGTGAATGACTGTGTCTGTGAATGACTGTGTCTGTGAATGACTGTGTGTGCCTGTTAATGACTGTACATACCTGCGAATGACTGTGTGTGCCTGTGAATGGTGCGTGTGTATCTATCTGTGAATGACTGTGTGTGAATGGCTGTGTGTCTGTGAATGCCTTTGTCTCTGAATGGTGTGTGTGCCTGTGAATGACTGTGTGTGAATGACTGTGTGTGTGAATGACTGCGTGTGAATGACTGTGTGTCTGTAAATGGCTGTGTGCCTGAGAATGGCTGTGTGCCTGAGAATGACTGTGTGTGTGTCTATGAATGACTGTGTGTCTGTGAGTGACTGTGTGTGCCTGTAAATAACTGTATGTACCTGCGAATGACTGTGTGTGCCTGTGAATGGTGTGTGTGTGTCTGTGAATGACTGTGTGTGTGATGCGCTGTGTGTCTGTGAATGCCTGTGTATGTGTCTCTGAATGGTGTGTGTGTCTGTGAATGACTGTGTCTGTGAATGACTGTGTGAATGACTGTGTGTGTGTCTGTGAATGACTGTGTGTCTGTGAGTGACTGTGTGTGCCTGTAAATAACTGTATGTACATGCGAATGACTGTGTGTGCCTGTGAATGGTGTGTGTGTATCTGTGAATGACTGTGTGTGTGATGCGCTGTGTGTCTGTGAATGACTGTGTGTGTCTGTGAATGACTGTGTCTGTGAATGACTGTGTCTGTGAATGACTGTATGCACCTGTGAATGACTGTGTGTACCTGTGAATGGTGTGTGTGTGTCTGTGAATGACTGTGTGTGAATGACTGTGTGTGACTGTGCGTCTGTGAATGACTGTGTGTGCCTGTAAATGACTGTATGCACCTGTGAATGACTGTGTGTACCTGTGAATGGTGTGTGTGTGTGTCCGTGAATGACTGTGTGTGTGAATGATTGTGTGTGTGAATGACTGTGTGTCTGTGAACGCCTGTGCCTGTGCAAGGCAAACCCCCTCTCCGCTGTGCTGTCGCTCCAGCCCCCGTTTCTAAAACGAATATGTTTGTGTTCTTTGAGGTTCTGTGATGGGCAATGCTCTCAAGGAGGGTTTCTCCCGCACATCATCCCAAGCGAGCACTGGGGTCCCACCTCACACCCCCAAGGACCCCGAACCCTCCGCCCTTTCCATCTCCCTCCCTCACAAACTCAGGGGCACGACTCAGTTCTCCCCGCGGGGTTGCCTTTGGCTCTGAGTCACTGCGTCCTGTGTCTCTGTCTCTCCCCTTCTCCTTCTGACTCAGTCCACGCAGCACGGCCTCCTCTCGTTTCATTCACTCCTTGGCCGAGTCTCCCCAGCACCGCCTTTTATCATTTTTCAGAGCTGCGTAGTACTCCGCGGCGGGTCTCTAGAAACCAGGACCTCTTCCTGCGCCCGGCCATTGAACCGGGGCATTTGGGGTTGTTACTGTGTCTTGAATGTTGTGCAAAGCGCGGCGAGGAACACAGGGGGACGTGGGGCCTCCCTGTGGGTGTTTGTGCGTCTTAGGAACACGTGCCCAAAAAGTGGTGGCTCTCCCTGTCTTCTGCCCCGCACAATCCTGGCGTCTCTGCAGGGGCGGAGGGCACGGCCGCCCGAAACTTCTCCTGCCTCATCTACGGGGCAGAGTTCATGAACTGCACGTGGCTGAGAGGTCGCGCGGCCCCCGAGGACGTCCAATATTTCCTGTATCTCCGTGATACCAAGTAAGTGAGTTTTGGGGTTTTTTTTTTTCAAATTTTTTTGAAAAATTTTGGGTTTTGAGCCACACCCGGAGATGCTCAGGGCTTCGTCCCGGGTCTGTGCTCAGGGGTCGCTCCTGGCGGGGTCACTCTGGGGACCCGATGGGATGCCGGGGATCGAACCCGGGTCCACCAGGTGCATGGCAAGTGGCCTCCCTGGGGGGCTCTCGAACAAGCCCTTCAGAGCAACTGTTGAGTTCCTATAAAACAACTCTGACCCTACACACACACACACACACACACACACACACACACACACACACTCACTCTCTCTCACACTCTTTCTCACACACACGCAGAGACACACACAGACACACACTCTCACACACACACAGAGATGCACCTCATCTTTTGAGAACTTCCATGGTACACAAACACACACAGACACACACATGCACCTTAACTTTGGAGAATTCTCTTGGTACACACACACACACACATACACACACACCCCTTATCTTTCAAGAATTTTCATGGTCTACAAACACAAACAGACACACACATGTACCTTATCTTTGAAGAATTCTCTTGGTACACACACACAACACACCCCTTATCTTTCAACAATTTTCATGGTCTACAAACACACACAGATACACACACACTTTATCTTTGGAGAATTCTCTTGGTACACACACACACACACCTTATCTTTCAACAATTTTCATGGTCTACAAACACACACAGACACACACATGCACCTTATCTTTGGAGAATTCTCTTGGTACACACACACACACACACACACACCCCTTATCTTTCAAGAATTTTCATGGTCTACAAACACAAACAGACACACACATGCACCTTATCTTTGGAGAATTCTCTTGGTACACACACACACACACACCCCTTATCTTTCAACAATTTTCATGGTCTACAAACACACACAGATACACACACGCACTTTATCTTTTGAGAATTCTCTTAGTACACACAGACACACCTTATTTTTGAAGAATTGTCATGGTCTACAAACACACACAGACACACACATGCACCTTATCTTTGGAGAATTCTCTTGGTACACACACACAGACACACTTTATCTTTCAAGAATTTTCATGGTCTACAAACACAAACAGATACACAAATGCACCTTATCTTTGAAGAATTCTCTTGGTACACACACACACATACACACACACACCTTATCTTTCAAGAATTTTCATGGTATACAAACACAAACAGACACACACATGTACCTTATCTTTGAAGAATTCTCTTGGTACACACACACACACACATACCTTATCTTTCAAGAATTTTCATGGTCTACAAACACACACAGATACACACACACTTTATCTTTTGAAAATTCTCATGGTACACACACACACCTTATCTTTCAAGAATCTTCATGGTCTACAAACACAACCAGACACACACATGCACCTTATCTTTGAAGAATTCTCTTGGTACACACACACAACACACCCCTTATCTTTCAACAATTTTCATGGTCTACAAACACACACAGATACACACACACTTTATCTTTGGAGAATTCTCTTGGTACACACACACACACACACCTTATCTTTCAAGAATTTTCATGGTCTACAAACACACACAGACACACACATGCACCTTATCTTTGGAGAATTCTCTTGGTACACACACACACACACTTTATCTTTCAAGAATTTTCATGGCACACACACATACAGATACACACACACTTTATCTTTTGAGAATTCTCTTAGTACACACACACACACACACACACCTTGTCTTTCAAGAATTTTCATGGTCTACAAACACACACAGACACACACATGCACCTTATCTTTGGAGTATTCTCTTGGTACACACACAGAGACACACACACACACCCCTTATCTTTCAAGAATTTTCATGGCACACACACACAAATATATGCATCTTATCTTTTGCGAATTTTCATGGTACACACACACACCTTATCTTTCAAGAATTTTCATGGTATACACACACACACACACACACACACGCCGCTTACTTATCTTTTGAGAATTTTCGTGGTCCTTTTCCTAACTCCCATCACTTCCAAATAAAGGAAGGAAAGGAGAGAGGGGATGGGTGAGTGTACGTGCACTGTGTCACTGGGGATGCGGGGAACCGTCTCTGGTGCCTGGATGAGCCGCAGGCCACTGAACGACCCGTCCACTTCACATCACTCTTCGATGCCGACACGCTTAAAGATCCTGTGTGGGGGGTGGTGTTGGGGGTTGCAGAGCCTGAAACACGCCAAGCACACACACACACATGCCGACCTGGTCACGTGTTCCCTGATGAGGCTGGTGAGACCCCCTCCACCGGGGGACTCGGGGTGGTCCGGTGCCTGGGTGGGCGGCGGGTGGTGGGGGCTGGTGCCCGCTGGCCGCCCTGGGTCTGTGACCTCAGCCCCCTGGACGCCCTTTCAGGACGAGGCGGGAGAGGCCGTGCCCCAGTTACCTGCAGGAATCGGGGAGGCACGTGGGCTGCCACCTCCGCAGCGTCTCGGACCTGACGACCTACACCTACTTCCTGGTCAACGGCAGCAGCTCTCGCACCCAGATCCGCTTCTTCGACACCCTCTTGTGGCTCAAGAAAATCGGTGCGGCTGGGTCTCGAGGGGGACAGACGCTGGGCATTGGGCGGAGGAAGGTCGGTGAGCAGAGCACGCGTGTGTGTGTGTGCGCGTGCGTGTGTGAATCCATGCACACGTCTGTCCAGGTGTGCACTCCGTGTGTGTGCGTGCGTGTGTGAGTCCACACACACGTCTGTCCAGGTGTGCACTCCGTGTGTGTGTGCGTGCATGTGTGAGTCCACACACACGTCTGTCCAGGTGTGCACTCCGTGTGTGTGTGCGTGCATGTGTGAGTCCACACACACGTCTGTCCAGGTGTGCACTCCGTGTGTGTGCGCGTGCGTGTGTGAATTCACGCACACGTCTGTCCAGGTGTGCACTCCGTGTGTGTGTGCGTGCGTAAATCCATGCACACGTCTGTCCAGATGTGCACTCCGTGTGTGTGTGCGTGCACGTGCGTGTGTGAGTCCACACACACGTCTGTCCAGGTGTGCACTCCGTGTGTGTGTGCGTGCGTAAATCCATGCACACGTCTGTCCAGGTGTGCACTCCGTGTGTGTGTGCGTGCACGTGCGTGTGTGAGTCCACACACACGTCTGTCCAGGTGTGCACTCCGTGTGTGTGTGCGTGCGTAAATCCATGCACACGTCTATCCAGATGTGTACTCTGTGTGTGTGCGTGCACGTGCGTGTGTGAGTTCACGCACACGTCTGTCCAGGTGTGCACTCCGTGTGTGTGTGCGTGCGTGAATACATGCACATGTCTATCCAGGTGTGCACTCCGTGTGTGTGTGCGTGCATGCATGTGTGAATCCATGCACACGTCTTTCCAGGTGTGCACTCCGTGTGTGTGGGCGTGCATGTGTGAGTCCACACACGTCTGTCCAGGTGTGCACTCCATGTGTGTGCATCTGCATGCATGTGTGTTTTTGCATGTATGTGTGCATCCGTGCGTGTGTGTATATGCATGTGTGTGTCTCCTTGTATGCGTGTGCCTCTGTGCATGTGTGTGCATCCTTGTACGCACATGTGTCTATGTGTATCCATGTGTAATCTGTCCGTGTGCGTGCCCATATATGCATGTGTGTATGTGTGTGTGCATGCGTACATGCCTGTGCATGCGTGTGTGCGTGCACGTGTGTGCATGCGTGCGTGTGTGCGTGTGCATGCGTGCTTGTGTGTACACGCATGCATGCGTGTATGCACCCATGCACGTTTATGTGTATCTGTACGGTTGTGTGTGTCTCCATGCACGCACGTGTGTGCATCCATGTATGTGTGTCTGTGTGTATGTGGGTGTATGAGTGTGTGCGTCCATGTGTAATTTCCTCGTGTGTGCACCCATATATGTGTGGGTGTGAATCCATGCGTGTGTGTATGTATCTGTGTGTGCGTGTGCCTCTGTACACATGTGTGTCTCTGTGCATGCATGCATGTGTCTGTGCATGTGTTTACACATCCGTGTGTGCAAGTGTCCATGCATGCCTGTGTGTTGATGCATTTGTGTCCTCCATGCATGCAAGTGTGCATCCATGTGTAATCTGTGTGCGCACCCATACATGTGTGTGTGCATCTGTGCATGTGTGTGTCCATGCATGTGTGTATGTATCTGTGCGCGCATGTGTGTCCGTGCAGGTGTGTGTGCCTGCATGCTTTTGTGTGTGCCTTCATGCACGCATGTGTGCCACCTTGCATGTGTGTGCATCCATGCATGCATGCACGTGTAACTTCATACATGCATGTGTGTGTCTGTGCATGTGTGTCTGCATCCATGTGCGTGTGCAAGTGTCCATGCATGCCTGTGTGTATTTGTGCATTCATGTGTGTGTCCATGCATGCATGTGTAACTTCATACATGCATGTGTGTCACTCTGTGCATGCATGTGTATATCCGTGCATACCTGTGTGCCTCTGTGCATGCGTGTGTCTCTGTGCATGTGTGTGTGCATCCTTGTATGCACATGTGTGTATGTGTATCCATGCGTAATCTGTCCGTGTGTGCCCATAGATGCATGTGTGCATGCGTGTATGTGTGTGTGCATGTGTGTGCATGCAGGCGTGTGTGTGCATGTGTACATGTGTGTATGCACCCATGCACGTTTATGTGCATCTGTATGTTTGTGTGTCTCCATGCATGCACGCGTGCATCCGTGCACGCGTGTGTGCATCCATGTATGTGTGTCTGTGTGTATCTGGGTGTATGTGTGTGCGTGTCCATGTGTAATTTCTTCATGTGTGCACCCATATATGTGTGGATGTGAATCCGTGCGTGTGTGTATGTATCCGTGTGTACACGTGCCTCTGTGCACATGTGTGTCTCTGTGCATGCATGTGTCTGTGCATGTGTGTATGCATCCGTGTGTGTGCAAGTGTCCGTGCGTGCCTGTGTGCATTCTTGCATTTGTGAGTGCCTCCATGCATGCGTGTCTGCGTTCATGCATGCGTATGTTATCCATGTATGTGTATGTGTGTGCGTAGCCATGCATGGTCTCTCCTTGTGTGCACCCCTATATGTGTGTGTGCATTCATGTGTGCCTGTGTGCATTTGTGCGTCCCTGTGTGCCTCCGTGCATGTGTGTGCCTCTGTGCATGCATGTGTGCATCCGGGTGTGTGCATCTATGTGTAATCTCTGTGTGTGCGCACCCATAACACGTGTGTGGATCCGTGTGGGTGTCCGTGCATGTGTGTATGCATTTGTGTGCATGCGTGTGTCTGTGCATGTGTGCGTGCCTCCATGCATGCAAGTGTGCATCCTTGCACGCGTGTGCCTCTGTGCATGCATGTGTGCATCGATGTGTGTATGTGTGCATGCATCAATGTGTAACCTGTGTGTGCATTGATGTGTAATCTGTGTGTGCACCCATGGACACGTGTGTGCATCCGTGCATGCGTGTATGCATTTGTGTGTGCATGCATATGTCCGTACATGCGTGTGTGCCTCCATGCGTTCATGTGTGCCTCTGTGCATGCCTGTGTGCATCCTTGCATGCGTGTGCCTCTGTGCATGAGTGTGTGCATCGATGTGTGTATGTGTGTGTGCATCTATGTGTAATCTGTGTGTGCACCCATGGACACGTGTGTGCATCCGTGCATGCGTGTATGTGTCCATGCATGTGTGTATTATGCATCTGTGTCCGCATGTGTGTGTCCGTGCACCCGTGTGTGCCTCCATGCATTCGTGTGTACCTCCATACATGCATGTGTGAGTCTTTGCGTGTGTGTGCACCCATGGACATGTGTGTGCATCTGTGTATGCGTGTGTGTCCGTGCATGCATGTATTATGCATCTGTGTCCACATGCGTGTGTGCGCATCTATGTGTAATCTCTGTGTGTGTGCACCCATGGACACGTGTGCATCTGTGCGTGCGTGTGTGAATCCGTGCATGCATGCATGCGTCTGTGTCTGCATGCGTGTGTCCGAGCATGCCTCCATGCATTCATGTGTACCTCCGTACATGCACGTGTGAGTCTATGCTTGTGTATGCGCCCATGGACACGTGTGTGCATCCGTGCAGGCGTGTGTGTGTCCATGCATGCATGATGCATCTGTGTCCGCATGCGTGTGTCCGTGCATGCCTCCGTGCATTCGTGTGTACCTCCGTACATACATGTGTGAGTCTATGCGTGTGTGTGTGTGCCTTCATGCATGCGTGCAAGGGGGCCCATGCACGGCTCTGTGTCTTTGTCAGAAGTTGCTCTTGCCTCCTGATGCAGAAGGTGAGATAGCGGGTCCCTGGGGGTCTATCCGCAGCTCCCAAGTCCTTGCACGACAATGAACAAATATCGAGTCTGGGGCTGGAGCGAGAGCCCAGCGGGGAGGGCGTTGGCCTGGCACACGGCAGACCCGGGTTCGAGTCCCGGCATCCCCTCAGGTCTCCCGAGCACTGCAGGAGGAGTCATTCCTGAGTGCAGAGCCAGGAGGGACCCCTGAGCATCGCCGGGTGGGACCCAAAAAAGCAAAAAAAAAAAAAAAAACCAAATAAATAAATAAAAGAGAACATATTGAGTGACAAGATGCTTCGACACAGTCATGAAATAGGAAAGTTCCCTGCAAAGTAGCAGAGGAGAAAAAAAAACAAACAAAACTCCCCCGTTTGGGCAGAAACTAAGTGGAATGCGGTTCATTATTTTTCTGGCCTTGCTTCTTTATTTTATTTCGTTTAATCTTAATATTTTATTTTGGTTTTCGGGCCACACCTGGGGGTTATTCCTGGCGGTTCTGGGGGGGTGTTGACCCGATGGGGTTCAAACTTCATCAAACACCCCAGGCAAGCGTCCAGCCCATTCATTTACGTTGATTTTTATAGAAAAACTCTGAGTTTTCTTTTTTTTTTTGGCCTTCGTAGATAAGTGACAAGAAAGAGAGATTGCAATTTTTAAATTTATGTAATTAATTTTTTTCAAAAAAAAAAAATTTTCAAAGAAAAAAAAGCTGCCCCCAAGTTCCCGGTCACTGACTTTCTTCCCTTATTTTAAATAAATTTTTAAAACTTAATTTATTTTTAAATAATAATTATATAATATAATATAATAATTATATTTAATTATATAGTTATATATTTTATATATTTATTATATATTTATATTTAATTATATTCAATTATATGATAATTATATTAATATATTATAATTATATTATATAATTATACAATTATGTAATTATTATATAATAATTATATAATTATATAATAATAATAAACAATACGAGGTACAGTTATAGACTTACACATAATTTATTTTTTAAATTTATTTGTTTTTTAAATTTTTTAAAAATTTATTTATTCATTTTTTAAATTTATTCATTGATTTTTAAAAATTTTTTTTAAAATTTTTAAAAAATTTATTTATTTATTTAAAAAATTTTTTTAATGTTTTTTTTTATGAGTGAATCACCAGGAGATGGGGAACGGGCACTGGAGAAGGCAAAGATTTTTTACAGAGCCCGCCCGCCCGCCCTCCTGCTGGCGACCTTTGACCTTAGCTAGGGTCCAGTTCCTTCTCCCTTGTCTGCAAGGACCCCGGGCTCTAGGCAGAATCGCTGGTCTTGGGAGGAACTGCACGGTTCCCTCTCGTTTTGTTATGCTAATCCAGAGGCCCTGGGGAAGAAGATTGGGAGGTGGGTAGGGGGTCCGGTTGCCCAGGCAACCGAGCCAGGCATGAGTAGCGAGGGGGAGGGGGATGGAATTTAGTCTGGCCCCGCCCCAGTGGGGGGGGATTTGATGGAGGAGGTGGTTGGTATTCATCCCTGCCTGATGCAGGAACACCAGGATAGATCATGTCATGAAAATCTCCAAAGATTCCCCCCTCATCCTCAAAAAAAAGATGAAGTTTCGTGACTTTCCAGGTTAGAGAATTGGGAATTTGGGGGAAGGGCTGGGCACCCCCCACCCAGCAGTGAATGGAAAGTTTTATTTTATTATTATTATTATTTTGTTGTTTTTTTTTTTGGGTCCCACCTGGCGATGCTCAGGGCTGACTCCTGGCTCTGCACTTACCCCTGGCGGTGCTTGGGGGACCCTAGGGGATGCTGGGAATCGAACCCGGTTCGGCCGCGTGTCTTTTTGTCCCCTTCTGCATCCGTCCACCCCTCTGACCTCCTGCGCATTGCGGGTGGATGACGGAAATTGGGGGCCCATGGCCGGCGGCCGTGTGATGGTCAAGGTCAGAATGAACAACCAGGGGTTGATTAAAAAAAAAAAACAGAGACTGGGGGAACGGCCAGCCTGGCCTTTAGAAAGCCCACTGGCCTCAGCTGGAAATGCAGTGACCACCTGTAACTGCATCTGCTTCGAGAGGAACGGCCAGCCTGGCCTTTAGAAAGCCCGCTGGCCTCAGCTGGGAATGCAGTGACCACCTGTAACTGCATCTGCTTCGAGAGGAACGGCCAGCCTGGCCTTTAGAAAGCCCACTGGCCTCAGCTGGAAATGCAGTGACCACCTGTAACTGCATCTGGCTCGAGAGGGAGCCTCGGTTGAGAAGTGACCGTTCACTTGCAGTGTATTTTCCTAAGGAAGGGACCCCAGTGGGACACAATTTCAGCCGTCGTGGACTGTCAGGCGTTACAGTGGTCCAGCCCCCTATGCTACCACTGGCGTCCACTCCCCGCCACCGGGTGTCCCCAACTTCCTGCCCGCTGCAGCCAGACTGACCCCTTTGTCGAACCCTTTCCTGAGTTCGGTGCTTGTGTTTGGAGTCGCGTTGGCCGGGTTTTCAGCTCTGGGGTTGGGACACATGGCTGGACCCCCCAACGTCCACACTGCCCAGGTCCTCAAGGCCTCCCAGCTGCCCCCAAGTTCCCGGTCACTGACTTTCTTCCCTTATAAACTATTTTCCCCCCAGGAAGATTCCCAGGAGTGCTCCATGCCCAGTGCTCTGGGGCTCGATCCCGGAATTCTTTGTCCGTCCTCCGAAGGGTTGGCGTCATACCCACCCCCGGTGCAGAGTGTCCTGTCCAGTGCCGGCTGGACGGGGTGGGGAGTGCCCTGACGCCGCCTCCCTCTCCTTGCAGAAGTCTACGACCCGCCCCGGAACATCTCCGTGAACTGCAGTTCCGCGCACTGCCTGGTGCAGTGGCGCAAGCCCAGGACGCGGCGGCCGCAGGGCGACCTGGAGTTCCAGTACCAGATACGGCTGCGGAGGCCGGTGGGTGGGGCCGGGGGGCAGCGGGGGGAGTGGGCGGGGCCACCCCAGGGCCTCCCTGTCCCTCCGTCCGGCTGTCCTGCTGTCCGTCCGGCTGTCATCTGCCCAACAGTCCATCTGTCCGTCCCTCTGTCATGTATCTATGCACCCATCTGTCTGTCCATCCGTCACCTGTCCACCCGTCCATCTGTCCGTCCATCCGTCATCTCCCTATCCACGCATCTGTCCATCTGTCCATCTGTCCAACGGTCCATCTGTCCGTCCCTCTGTCATGTAACTATCCACCCATCTGTCCAGCTGTCCATCTGTCCATCCACCTGTCATCTATCCACCCATCCGTCTGATGGTCCATCTGCCCAACAGTCCATCTGTCCACCCGTCTGTCATCCGTCCAGCTGTCCATCTGTCTGTCCATCATCTGTCATCCGTCCAACTGTCCACTTGTCCACCCATCTGTCATCCGTCCAACTGTCCATCTGTCTGTCCTTCTGTCATCCGTCCAACTGTCCATCTGTCTGTCCTTCTGTCATCCGTCCTACTGTCCACTTGTCCACCCATCTGTCACCCGTCCAACTGTCCATCTGTCCATCCCTCTGCCATCTGTCCAACAGTCCATCTGTCCGTCCATCTGTCACGTATCCGTCCACCCATCTGTCTGTCTGTCCGTCCTTCTGTCTGTCCCCTCATCATCTGTCCGTCTGTCCATCCATCTGTCATCTATCCACTGATCTGTCCATCTGTCCGTCCGCCTGTCATCTCTCCAACTGTCCATCTATCCTTCTGCCATCTGACTATCCACCCATTGGTCCGTCTGTCCATTCATCTGCCACCTGTCCAACAGTCCATCTGTCTGTCCATCTGTCATGTATCTTTCCATCCATTCGTCTGTCTGTCTGTCTGTCCGTCCATCATCTATCCACTCATCTGTCCATCTGTCCATGCATTTGTCATCTCTGTCCATCTGCCATTCGTCCAACTGTCCATCTGTCCACCCATCTGTCATCCGTCCAACTGTCCATCTGTCTGTCCATCTGCCATCTGTCCAATTGTCCATCTGTCCATCCATCTGTTGTCCAACTGTCCATCTGTCCACCCGTCTGTCATCGACCAACTGTCCATCTGTCCACCCGTCCGTCATCTGTCCATCTGTCCATCTGTCCACCCGTCCGTCATCTGTCCATCTGTCCGTCTGTCCACCCTTCTGTCATCCATCCAACTGTACATCTGTCTGTCCATCTGCCATCTGTCCAATTGTCCATCTGTCCATCCATCTGTTGTCCAACTGTCCATCTGTCCACCCATCTGTCATCCGACCAACTGTCCATCTGTCCACCCATCTGTCATCTGTCCATCTGTCTGTCTGTCCACCCATCTGTCATCTGTCCATCTGTCCATCTGTCCAACCATCTGTCATCCATCCAACTGTCTGTCTGTCCATTCATCTGTCATCCGTCCAAATGTCCATCTGTCCACCCGTCTGTGATCTATCCATCAGTCCATCTGTCTGTCCATCTGTCATCCATCCATCGGTCCATCTGTCCATCCATCTGTTATCCATCCAACTGTTCATCTGTCCACCCATCTGTCATCCATCCATCAGTCCATCTGTCCATCCATCTGTCATTCATCCAACTGTCCATCTGTCTGCCCATCTGCCATCTGTCTATCTGTCCATCCGTCTGTCATTCATCCAACTGTCCATCTGTCTGCCCATCTGCCATCTGTCCGTCTGTCCACCCATCTGTCATCCATCCATCAGTCCATCTGTCCACCCGTATGTCATCTATCCAACTGTCCATCTGTCTGTCCATCTGTCATCCGTCCATCCAATGGTCCATCTGTCTATCCGTCTGCCATCTGTCCATCTGTCCACCCATCAGTCCATCTGTCCATCCATCTGTCATCTGTCCATCAGTGCAGCTGTCCGTCCATCTGCCATCCGTGCAATGGTCCTTCTGTCTGTCCATCTGTCATCCATCCAATGGTTCATCTGTCCATCCATCTGTTGTCCAACTGTCCATCTGTTCACCCGTCTGTCATCCGTCCATGTGTCCATTTGTCTGTCCATCTGTCATCCTTCCAATGGTCCATCTGTCCGTCCATCTGCCGTCCGTGCAATGGTCCATCTGTCTGTCCATCTGTCATCCATCCAATGGTCCGTCTTTCCACCCATCTGTCATCTGTCCAACGGTCCATCTGCCCATCCATCTGTCGTTCAACTGTCCATCTGTCCACCCGTCTGTCATCCGTCCAACTTTCCATCTGTCCATTCATCTGTTGTCCAACTGTCCATCTGTCCATCTGTCTGTCATCCATCCAACTTTCCATCTGTCCATCCATCTGTTGTCCAACTGTCCATCTGTCCACCCATCTGTCATCCGTCCAACGGTCCATCTGTCCGTCCATCTGTCATTCGTCCAACGGTCCATCTGTCCGTCCATCTGCCATCCGTCCAACGGTCCATCTGTCCATCCATCTGCCATCCGTCCAACGGTTCATCTGTCCATCCATCTGCCATCCGTCCAACGGTCCATCTGTCCATCCATCTGCCATCCGTCCAACGGTCCATCTGTCCATCCATCTGCCATCCGTCCAACGGTTCATCTGTCCATCCATCTTCTCATCTGTCCGTCTTTCCACCCGTCTGTCATCCATCCAACGGGCCATCTGTCCGTCCATCTGCCATCCGTGCAATGGTCCTTCTGTCTGTCCATCTGTCATCCATCCAATGGTCCATCTGTCCACCCAACTATTGTCCAACTGTCCATCAGTCCACCCATCTGTCATCCATCCAACTTTCCATCTGTCCACCCATCTGTCATCCGTCCAACTGTCTATCTGTCTGTCCATCTGTCATTCGTCCAACGGTTCATCTGTCCATCCATCTTCCCATCTGTCCGTCTTTCCACCCGTCTGTCATCCGTCCAACTTTCCATCTGTCCATTCATCTGTTGTCCAACTGTCCATCTGTCCATCTGTCTGTCATCCATCCAACTTTCCATCTGTCCATCCATCTGTCATCCAACTGTCCATCTGTCCACCCATCTGTCATCCGTCCAACGGTCCATCTGTCCGTCCATCTGTCATCTGTCCAACGGTCCATCTGTCCGTCCATCTGCCATCCGTCCAACGGTTCATCTGTCCATCCATCTTCTCATCTGTCCGTCTTTCCACCCGTCTGTCATCCGTCCAACTTTCCATCTGTCCATTCATCTGTTGTCCAACTGTCCATCTGTCCATCTGTCTGTCATCCATCCAACTTTCCATCTGTCCATCCATCTGTCATCCAACTGTCCATCTGTCCACCCATCTGTCATCCGTCCAACGGTCCATCTGTCCGTCCATCTGTCATCTGTCCAACGGTCCATCTGTCCGTCCATCTGCCATCCGTCCAACGGTTCATCTGTCCATCCATCTTCTCATCTGTCCGTCTTTCCACCCGTCTGTCATCCATCCAACGGGCCATCTGTCCGTCCATCTGCCATCCGTGCAATGGTCCTTCTGTCTGTCCATCTGTCATCCATCCAATGGTCCATCTGTCCACCCAACTATTGTCCAACTGTCCATCAGTCCACCCATCTGTCATCCATCCAACTTTCCATCTGTCCACCCATCTGTCATCCGTCCAACTGTCTATCTGTCTGTCCATCTGTCATTCGTCCAACGGTTCATCTGTCCATCCATCTTCCCATCTGTCCGTCTTTCCACCCGTCTGTCATCCGTCCAACTTTCCATCTGTCCATTCATCTGTTGTCCAACTGTCCATCTGTCCATCTGTCTGTCATCCATCCAACTTTCCATCTGTCCATCCATCTGTCATCCAACTGTCCATCTGTCCACCCATCTGTCATCCGTCCAACGGTCCATCTGTCCGTCCATCTGTCATCTGTCCAACGGTCCATCTGTCCGTCCATCTGCCATCCGTCCAACGGTTCATCTGTCCATCCATCTTCTCATCTGTCCGTCTTTCCACCCGTCTGTCATCCGTCCAACTTTCCATCTGTCCATTCATCTGTTGTCCAACTGTCCATCTGTCCATCTGTCTGTCATCCATCCAACTTTCCATCTGTCCATCCATCTGTCATCCAACTGTCCATCTGTCCACCCATCTGTCATCCGTCCAACGGTCCATCTGTCCGTCCATCTGTCATCTGTCCAACGGTCCATCTGTCCGTCCATCTGCCATCCGTCCAACGGTTCATCTGTCCATCCATCTTCTCATCTGTCCGTCTTTCCACCAGTCTGTCATCCATCCAACGGGCCATCTGTCCGTCCATCTGCCATCCGTGCAATGGTCCTTCTGTCTGTCCATCTGTCATCCATCCAATGGTCCATCTGTCCACCCAACTATTGTCCAACTGTCCATCAGTCCACCCATCTGTCATCCATCCAACTTTCCATCTGTCCATCCATCTGTCATCCAACTGTCCATCTGTCCACCCATCTGTCATCCGTCCAACTGTCTATCCGTCTGTCCATCTGTCATCCGTCCAACGGTCCATCTGTCTGTCCATCTGTCATTCGTCCAACGGTTCATCTGTCCATCCATCTTCCCATCTGTCCGTCTTTCCACCCATCTGTCATCCATCCAACTGTCCATCTGTCCACCCATCTGTCATCCGTCCAACTTTCCATCTGTCCATCCATCTGTCATCCAACTGTCCATCTGTCCACCCGTCTGTCATCCGTCCAACTGCCCATCTGTCCGTCCATCTGCCACCCGTCCAACTGCCCATCTGTCCGTCCATCTGTCATCTGTCCAACGGTCCATCTGTCCATCCATCTGCCATCCGTGCAATGGCCCTTCTGTCCATCCGTCTGTCATCCGTCCAACTGTCCATCTGTCCGTCCATCTGTCATCTGTCCAACGGTCCATCTGTCCGTCCATCTGCCATCCGTGCAATGGTCCTTCTGTCCGTCCGTCTGTCATCCGTCCAACTGTCCATCTGTCCGTCCATCTGTCATCCGTCCAACTGTCCACTTGTCCACCCATCTGTCATCCGTCCAACTGTCCATCTGTCTGTCCTTCTGTCGTCCGTCCAACTGTCCATCTGTCCGTCCATCTGTCATCCGTCCAACGGTCCATCTGTCCGTCCATCTGTCATCCGTCCAACTGTCCATCTGTCCGTCCATCTGTCATCTGTCCAACGGTCCATCTGTCCGTCCATCTGTCATCCGTCCAACGGTCCATCTGTCCATCCGTCTGCCATCCGTCCAACTGTCCATCTGTCCACCCATCTGTCATCCGTCCAACTGTCCATCTGTCCGTCCATCTGCCACCCGTCCAACGGTCCATCTGTCTGTCCATCTTCCATCCGCCCAACGGTCCATCTGTCCGTCCATCTGTCATGCATTGGTCCATCCATCCGTCTGCCCACCCACCCCCCCACCCACCCCCCTCCACTCGTCGGTCCGTCCGTCCATCCGTCTGTCCAGGGGCCCTGCCCTGCCTGGGGGTGGCGGGTGGACGGGGGACAGGCCTGGACCAACACCCTCGTCCCCTGCCGTGTTTTCCAGAGCGAACCCGCCGGGCACACCCAGGTGAGTCCCCACAGCAAACCCAGGACCAACCTCGCCCGCCCCCGGCCGGGCGCGACGTCCACCCCTGCGTTGGCCGAGGGCACCTGCACGCAGTGTAGACGGAGGGGGGAGGTGTCTGCCTGCCTGCAGTGTAGACAAACGGGGGGGGGGGTTGTGTCTGCCTGCATGCAGTGTAGACAGGAGGGGCTTGTGTCTTCCTGCGTGCAGTGTAGACGGAAGGTGCTGTGTTCTATGACAGCGGCGTCCGTCTACACCGGACATCCTGGCCACAACCCTGGGACCCAGTGTAGACCCAGGATCCTGACCCTTGCCCCATGCACCCTCACCGGTGTAGACCAGGATCCTGACCCTTGTTTCATACACCCTCACCGGTATAGACCAGGATCCTGACTCTTACCCCCTATAGCCTCACCAGTGTAGACCATAAATCCTGACTCTTGCTCCTGACACCCTCGCCAGTGTAGACCCAGGATCCTGAGCCTCCTCGGTGCCCACTTGTGCCCAGTGTCCACCAGGATCCTAACGCCCTGCCCCATCCTCACCACACCCAGTGTAGACCAGGAATCCCGACTCTTATACCATGCCCATTGTACCCAAGATAGGTCAACGTACTGACCCTACCCTGTGACTACTTGCACCCAGTGTAGACCCCTCTCTGACCCTGAGCCATGCTCCCTGCACTCAGTGTAGACCAGAACCCCCATGACCACTTGCACCCAGTGTAGACCCGTCTCTGACCCTGCACCATGCTCCCAACACTCAGTGTAGACCCAGATTCCACCCTCATGACCACTTGCAGCCAGTGTAGACCTGTCTCTGACCCTGAGCCATGCTCCCTGTCCCCTGTGTAGACCAGGATCCCCCGACCCACATGAGCACCTGCACCCAGTGTAGACCCCTCTCTGATCCTGCACCATGCTCCCTACCCTCAGTGTAGACCCAAACTCCCACCCCCACGACCACTTACATCCAGTGTAGACTCTTCTCGGACCTGACCCATACTCCCTGCACCCCGTGTAGACCTGAACCCAACCCCCATGACCACTTCCACCCAGTGTAGACCCGTCTCTGACCCTGCACCATGCTCCCAACACGCAGTGTAGACCCAGATTCCACCCTCATGACCACTTGCAGCCAGTGTAGACCTGTCTCTGACCCTGAGCCATGCTCCCTGTCCCCCGTGTAGACCAGGATCGATCCCCCGACCCACATGAGCACCTGCACCCAGTGTAGACCCCTCTCTGATCCTGCGCCATGCTCCCGAAACTCAGAGTCACCCAACCCTCACCCCTAAGACGACTTCCACCCAGTGTAGACGCCTCTCGGACTCTAAGCCATGCTCTCTACACTCAGTGTAGACCCAAACCTCCTATCCCCAAGACCACTTGCAGCCAGTGTAGACCCACCTCTGACCCTCCACCATGCTCTCTACACTCAGTATAGACCTGAACTCCCTACCCCCACAACCAGTTGCACCCAGTGTAGACCCCTCTCTGATCTTGCAACAAGCTCCCTACACTCAGTGTAGACCTGAACCCCCCTACCCCCATGACCAGTTGCACCCAGTGTAGACCCCTCTCTGATCCTGCAACAAACTCCCTACACTCAGTGTAGACCTGAACCCCCTACCCCCATGACCAGTTGCACCCAGTGTAGACCCCTCTCTGATCCTGCAACAAACTCCCTACACTCAGTGTAGACTTGAACCCCCTACCCCCATGACCAGTTGCACCCAGTGTAGACCCCTCTCTGATCCTGCACCATGCTCCCTACCCTCAGTGTAGACCCAAACTCCCACCCCCACGACCACTTACATCCAGTGCAGACTCTTCTCAGACCCTGACCCATACTCCCTGCACCCCGTGTAGACCTGAACCCAACCCCCATGGCCACTTGCACCCAGTGTAGACCCGTTTCTGGCCCTGCACCATGCTCCCAACACTCAGTGTAGACCCAGATTCCACCCTCATGACCACTTGCACCCCGTGTAGACCTGAACCCAACCCCCATGACCACTTGCACCCAGTGTAGACCCGACTCTGACCCTGCAACATGCTCCCAACACACAGTGTGTAGACCCAGATTCCACCCTCATGACCACTTGCAGCCAGTGTAGACCTGTCTTTGACCCTGAGCCATGCTCCCTGTCCCCCGTGTAGACCAGGATTCCCCAATCCACATGAGCACCTGCACCCAGTGTAGACCCCTATCTGATCCTGCACCATGCTCCCTACCCTCAGTGTAGACCCAAACTCCCACCCCCACGACCACTTACATCCAGTGTAGACTCTTCTTAGACCCTGACCCATACTCCCTGCACCCCGTGTAGACCTGAACCCAACCCCCATGACCACTTGCAGCCAGTGTAGACCCGTCTCCGGCCCTGCACCATGCTCCCAACACACAGTGTAGACCCAGATTCCACCCTCATGACCACTTGCACCCCGTGTAGACCTGAACCCAACCCCCATGACCACTTGCACCCAGTGTAGACCCGTCTCTGGCCCTGCACCATGCTCCCAACACTCAGTGTAGACCCAGATTCCACCCTCATGACCACTTGCAGCCAGTGTAGACCCGTCTCCGAACTTACACGTTGTCCCTACACTCGGTGTAGACCCGAATCCCACCCTGCCCCGTGTCTTCCGCCTCTGCCGTCCACACCGGGGGCCCTGTGCAGCCTTTTCCTCACAGATCGACATCTCAGGGGACGAGGGGAACCAGTACGAGCTGCCGGGACCCCGAGGCCGGCTGAGCCTGCAGATGAGAAGTGCCAATGCCCGCCTCGAGCCGGGAGACCCCTGGGGGGTCTGGAGCCACCCGCTGCCCTTCGGTATGAGGAGGAGGAGGAAGAGGAAGAGGAGGAGGAGGAGGGACCTCAGCCCCCGGGGGCCCTGGTCCGGTCTGAGCGCCGCTCCCCTCGTCCCAGCTGGGGGAAGGAAGCGTCAGAAGTCTTGGCCCGGGGAGAGACCCCCCAGCCAGGAGGGGGCAGTTTTGGGAGCTCGGAAGGGGACGCAGGGAACTGGTGGGGCCAACAGTCATTTCATTTCATTTTTATTGTTATTATTATTTATTTATTATTATTTTTATTTTATTTTTAAATCAAATTTAATTTTTTATTTAATTTTAATTTTATTTAGATTTATTTTTTTACTTATTTTTTATTTTTATTTATTTATTATTTATTTAGTTTTATTATTATTTATTTATTATTTAAAATCATTTATTATTTATTTAGTTTTTATTTATTATTTCTATTTATTTAGTTTTATTTATTATTTATTTTTATTTATTTATTTATTTTTATTTATTTATTATTCATTTAGTTTTATTTATTATTTATTATTTATATTTATTTATTATTTATTTAGTTTTTATTTTATATTTATTTATTATTCATTTAATTTTATTTATTATTTATTTATTATTTATATTTATTTATTATTTATTTATTATTTTTATTTATTTATTATTTATTTAGTTTTTATTTTATATTTATTTATTATTCATTTAGTTTTATTTATTATTTATTTATTATTTATATTTATTTATTATTTATTTATTTTTTATTTTATATTTATTTATTATTCATTTAGTTTTATTTATTATTTATTTATTATTTATATTTATTTATTATTTATTTATTATTTTTATTTATTTATTATTTATTTAGTTTTTATTTTATATTTATTTATTATTCATTTAGTTTTATTTATTATTTATTTATTATTTATATTTATTTATTATTTATTTATTATTTTTATTTATTTATTATTTATTTAGTTTTTATTTTATATTTATTTATTATTCATTTAGTTTTATTTATTATTTATTTATTATTTATATTTATTTATTATTTATTTATTTTTATTTTATATTTATTTATTATTTATTTAGTTTTATTATTATTTATTTATTATTTAAAATCATTTATTATTTATTTAGTTTTATTTATTATTTATATTTATTTAGTTTTATTTATTATTTATTTTTATTTATTTTTATTTATTTATTTATTTTTATTTATTTATTATTCATTTAGTTTTATTTATTATTTATTTATTATTTATATTTATTTATTATTTATTTTTTTATTTTATATTTATTTATTATTCATTTAGTTTTATTTATTATTTATATTTATTTATTGTTTATTTATTTTTTATTTTATATCTATTTATTATTTATTTAGTTTTATTCATTATTTATTTTTATTTATATTTATTTATTATTTATTTTTATTTTTATTTTTATTTATTTAGTTTTTATTTATTATTTATATTTATTTATTATTTATTTAGTTTTTAATTGATTATTTATATTTATTATTTATTTAGTTTTATTTATTATTTATATTTATTTATTATTTATATTTATTTATTATCTATTTATTTTATTTTATATCTATTTATTATTTATTTAGTTTTATTTATCATTTATTTTTATTTATTTTCATTTATTATTTATTTTATTTATATTTATTATCTATTTAGTTTTATTCATTATTTCTATTTATTCATTATTTATTTTAATTTATTATTTATATTTATTTATATTTATCTATTTATTTATTTTTATTTATTATTTATTTTTATTTATTATTTATGTATCATTTATTTACTTTTATTTATTACTTATATTTATTATTCATTTCTATTTATTTATTATTTATTTGTTCTTATTTATTATTTATTTTTATTTTTGTTTTAATAATAGATCTGTTTATTTTATTTTTAATTTAATTTTTACTGTTATTTATTATTTTTATTATTTATTTATTTGCTCGAGCGGGCCCAGTAACGTCTCCATTGGAGACTTTGTTATTACTGTGTCTGGCATATCGAATACTCTCGGTAGCTTGCCGGGCTCTCCGAGAGGGGCGGAGGAATCGAACTCGGGTCCGCCATGTTGGCTGCGTGCAAGGCAGATGCCTATTTTAACCTGGAGTGATAGCACTGCAGGGAGAGCAGGGAGGAGGTTTGCCTGGCACGCGGCCGACCCGGGTTCGAGTCCTCCGTCCCTCTCAGAGAGCCACTCGGCCAGCTCCCGAGAGGATCCCGCCCACACGGCGGAGCCTGGCCAGCTCCCCGTGGCGTCTACGCGATGCCAAACACAGTGACAACAAGTCTCGCCACGGAGACGTGCCTGGTGCCCGCGGGAGGACAGTGACACAGTGCAATTTTGATATTTATCATGATATTGATCACCTAAATTAATATTATTAATTAATTATATGGATCATTCGATACATTAATGTAAACTAGGTTGCATTAATTCCAATCGTGCTGATTCTATTAATCACATTCTATACCGATTAATTATATGGACGTTAGTGAACAGCAAATATTCACTGATATTGATCTAGATGGGCTGGAGCACAGTGGGGAGGGCCTTTTCCTGGCACACGGCCGACCCGGGTTCGATTCCTCCGTCCCTCTCGGAGAGCCCGGCCAGCTCCCGAGATGATCCCGCCCGCATGGCAGAGCCCGGCAAGCTCCCCGTGGCGTCTCCGAGATGCCAGACACAGTCACAACAAGTCTCACCATGGAGACGTGCCTGGTGCCCGCTCGAGCCAATCGATAAACAGAGGGAGGACCATGCTCTATTATTGATTATTAATTCTGAGGCAAGGAACAGCGTAAGAACTTGTTATTATTATTATTATTGATTATTGATTATTAACAAGTCTCAGCATGGAGATGTGCCTGGTGCCCGCTCGAGCCAATCGAACAACAACGAGAGGACAGTGGTAGACAGGGACAGTGAGATCGAGACTCTTACAAAAAGCGGTTCCTGATTGGGCTTACGTCCTCCAGGGTTCCAACCCCCATCCCTTCACCAGGACACGGTTCCCAGCACCAGGGACCCCAGGGTCCCTCCCATCACCCCCACCCCACCCCACGTCCAGCCTGCCTCGATGGCACCGGTGTCCGATGGTGACCTGGTGGCTCTGTCTGGTGGCCAGAGCAGAGTCCACTGAGGCTCCCTGTGTCCGACGCCCACTTCTCCTGCTCCATCCTCAGGCCACGAAGAGCCAGTGTCCAGCCTGGTGTATGTGTACTTCCCCGTGGTGCTGGGGACCCTGGTGTGTGGCTGCCTCCTCCTGTTTGTGTGTAGCAGGTAAGCCCGCAGGGGGCGGTGGGCGTGCGGGCACAGGGACTGGTCACTGCAACACATCAGGAGGGCAAAACTCAAGCCTTGGCTGGCTGGGGGACCCTTGCTCCGAGTTGATGGACTTTCGCCTGCCTGGAATCTGTCTCTCTTCCCGGTTCGCCAAAGGGAGAACTTCCAAACCATGGTGGGGGGTGTTTGTTTGTTAGCTAAGCAAAAGACCCCCTCCCCGCACAATGCAGTCACCACAGTCACCAAGCTCCGGGGAAAATCCATCCACAGTGGCGGTGAAATCTGAGCTCTCCGCAGGAGGCGTCCTTGGGGCCAGCGTAGCTGGTCCCACCGTCCAGGAGTTCCTCTGACTCTGTTCCCATCTCTAGATTCCTGGGGACCTCCACGCTGTTCTCACGCATCCCGCAAGTCAGAGATAAGTTGAACGATGGCCAGGAGGTGGACCAGCAGGTAAACACCAGGGGCGGGCACAGAACCCTGGAAGTGACCCTCCGTGGACGCCATGTCCACCACAGAGAGCCACCGAGGCACCAGAGGAGGTGCTGGCATCCTGGGAACCACTCGGGGCTGTTCTGGGGGTGGGGCGGGGTTGTCTGAGATTCTCTCTCTCTCTGGAAACTGTGTCTGCAGAGATGGGAGTGAAGGGGAGATGGGGAGAAGGAGGAAGAGTGAGGAAGAATGAGGAAGAAGGGAGGAGAGAAGAGAGACAGAGGAACAGAGAATTGATGAGTTGATGATGGGTCATTGATGGGTGGACCAGTGATGATCAAATAGACTGGATGATGGATGGATGGATGGATGGATGGATGGATGGATGGATGGAAGGATGGATGGATGGATGGGTGGATGGATGGATGGATGGATGGATGGATGGATGGATGGATGGTGGAGGGATGGATGGGTAGATGGGTGGATGGATGGGTGGGTGGATAGGTGGATGGATAGATGGGTGGATGGATGGATGGATAGGTGGGTGGATGGATGGGTGAATTGATGGATGGATAGGTGGATGGATGGATGATGGATGGGTGAATGGGTAGGTGGGTGAGTGGGTGGGTGGATGGATGGATGGGTGGATGAGTGGATGAATGGATGGATGGTGGATGGATGGATGGATGGATGGATAGATGGGTGGATGGGTAGGTGGGTGGGTGGATGGATGCATGGATTGGTGGATCGGTGGATAGATGGATGGGTGGATGAATGGATGAGTGGGTGGGTGGATGGATGGGTGGGTGGGTGGTGGATAGATGCATGGATGAGTGGATGGATGGATGGATGGATGGATAGATGGATAGGTGGGTTGATAGGTGGATGGATGGATGGGGGTGTGGATGGATGGATGAATGGATGGGTGCGTGGATGGTTAGATGGGTAGATGGATGGGTGGTAGATGGATGGATGGATGAATAGATTAATGGATTGGTGGATAGATAGATGGAGAGGTGGATAGGTGGATGGATGGATGGATGGGTGGATGGATGGATGGATGGAGAGATGGATGAATGGGTGGATGGATGAATGGATGGGTGGATGGATGTATGGGTGGGTGGATGAGTAGATGGATGGGTAGATAGGTGTATGTATGGGTGGAGGGGTGGATGGATGAATGGGTGGGTGGATAGATGGATGTATAGATGGATGGATGGATGGATGGATGGATGGATGGATGATGGATGGGTGGGTGGATGGGTGGATGAATGGATGGATGGATGGATGGGTGGATGGATGGATCGATGGGTGGATGGATGGATAGATGGGTGGATGGATGGGTGGGTGGATGGGTGGATGGATGGAAGGATTGATGATGGATGGATGGATGGATGGATGAGTGGATGGGTGGGTGGATGGATGGATGACAGTCGATGAAGATAATTGCATAATGACAAGTGAATATTGGTTGATGTTGGGTGGATGGACAGATGGGAAGATGGTGGATAACTGAAGGATGGACAGATGACAATGAATCGGCAATGGATGGGTGACAGTGGACAATGATGACTGCATTAATGGATAAGCAGTGGGACGGATGTCATTCGGATGATGGTGAATTGGTGGGCCGAAGAATGGATGGAGAGTTAAATATGTAAGCACTGTGTGTGTGTGTCTGTGTGAGCAGCAGAGAGAGACAAATGCAGGTAGATTTCCAGAAAGACTTGGAGAAGGGGCTGGAGCGATAGCCCAGCGGGGAGGGGATTTGCCTTGGACACGGCCAACCCGGGTTCGATTCCCAGCTTCCCACAGGGTCCCCTGAGCACCGCCAGGAGTCACTCCTGAGTGCAGAGCCAGGAGGAACCCTGAGCATCGCCAGGTGGGACCTGAAAAGAAATAAAAGAAAGAAAGAGGAGAAAGAAGAAAGAAAGAAAGAAAGAGGAAGGAAGGAAGGAAGGAAGGAAGGAAGGAAGAGAAAGAAGGAAGGAAGGAAGGAAGGAAGGAGAGAGAGAAAGAAAGAAAGAAAGAAAGAAGAAAGAAAGAAAGAAAGAAAGAAGAAGAGAAGGAAGGAGGAAGGAAGGAAGGAAGGAGGAAGGAAGGAAGGAAGGAAGGAAGAAGGAAGGAAGGAAGGAAGGAAGGAAGGAAGCGAGGGCGCACCCGAGTTCAATTCCTCCACCCCGCTCGGCCAGCTCCCGAGAGGATCCCGCCCGCCCGGTGGCAGAGCCTGGCCAGCTCCCCGTGCGTCTCCGAGATGCCAAACACAGTCACCGCGAGTCTCACCGTGGACACGTGACTGGTGCCCGCTCGAGCAAATCGATGAACGACGGGAGGACAGTGACACAGTGCAATTTTGATATTTATCATGATATTGAACACCCTCAATTAACATGATTGATTAATTGTATTATTTATATGAGGTATCAAATATTATATTATTATATTATTGATTATTGGATACATTGATGTTAGCTACATTGTATTCACTGCAGTCGTGTTGATTCTATTAGTGATATTCTACACTAATGAATTATATGGATGTTAAGGAATAGCAAATATCCATTGATATTGATCTCTATGGGCTGGAGCACAGCGGGGAGGGTGTTGGCCTGGCACGTGGCCGACCCGGGTTCGATTCCTCGCCCCTCTCGGAGAGCCCCGGCCAGCTCCCGAGAGGATCCCGCCTGCCCGGTGGCAGAGCCTGGCCAGTTCCCCGTGGCGTCTCCGAGATGCCAAACACAGTCACAGTGAGTCTCACCAGGGAGACGTGCCTGGTGCCCGCTCGAGCCAATCGATGAACAGCGGGAGGACCGTGACCGTGAGAAAAAGGTAGACCTGCCCCGGCCTTGGGGGCCAGAGGGGCGTCCCTGGGCAGAGAATGCGGGAGTCCTCCTTCGGGGGTTCACTCCCCTCCTGACTGTTGTCCTCAGGTCCCCTGGGAGAAGTGTCTGGCCACGGACGGGAAGACGGACAGTGAGCACGTGCTCGTGGTGACCCTTGCAGGAGGAGACGCAGACCCCGCCGTGCCCGGGCGGACCACCAGAGGGCTGACTCCCGTCGGCTCTGAAGACCAGCTGAGTTGCGATGCTTTTGACTTTGGTTATTATTATCTTTTTTTAAGAAAGCGATGGTTTTTTTTTTTTACACAAGGTGTGTGTTGTCTGAGCCCCACCAGGCCCATCCAAAACTTTGCAGTCTCCTTCTCCTTCACTGAGTCCCCCACCTGAGACGGGTGGGGACCTTCGCCCGTCCCGAGGTAGCCACTGCGTTGGGAAACTTGGCTCCCTGCTGCCTCTGACCAGTGATCCTCAGAGGTTCCTTCTGGGTCATGCATTCAGGAATGACTCCTGGCAGTGCTCGGGGGAGCCTAGGGGATGCTGGGACTCGAACCCAGGTCGGCCGCATGCAAGGCAAATGCCCTCCCTGCTGTGCTATTGCTCCAGCCTCTCTCTCTCCTTCCTTCCTTCCTTCCTTCCTTCCTTCCTTCCTTCCTCTCCTCCCTCCCTCCCTCCCTCCCTCCCTTCCTTCTTTCCTCTCTTTCTCTCTCTCTTTCTCTTTCTTTTCTTTCTTTTCGGGGTCCCACCCGGCGATGCTCAGGGCTAACTCCTGGCTCTGCACTCAGGAATCCCTCCTGGTGGTGCTCGGGGGACCCTAGGGGATGCTGGGAATCGAACCCGGGTAGGCCGTGTGCCTCCCCGCTGGGCTATGGCTCCAGCCCCTTCTCTCTCTCTCTCTCTCTCTCTCTCTCTCTCTCTCTCTCTCTCTCTCTCTTCTTTTCACTTGACCTGTCTCTCTCCGTCTCCGTCCCACTCTGCCTCAGTTTCCCCATCTTGGCTGCGTCCCATCTGCGTGACTGCCCTCTCTCTCCGTCTCCGTTGGATTCTTTTTCTCTCCCTGTCAGTCCCTGCACCTGTCCGTCCGTCTGTCCTTCTGCTCATCTATCCGTCCTTCCAATCTCTGGCCCCCGTTCTTCTCTCCCTTCATCTCTCCCTGTCTGTCTCTTTCTTGGTCTCTCCACCTCCCGTCCGTCTCTACCTCTCCCTTCTGTCTCTCCGTGCCTTCCCGTATCTCTGCGTGTTTGTGCATCCTTGTATCTCTCTGTCTCTTCATCTCTCTACCTCTCTGTTGCTTGAACCCCTTCACTCCCTTCATTTCTTCCTCTCTCCCTCCCTTCCCTCCATCTCTCCCTCCATCCGCCTCTGGGTATCCCCGGATCGCTGACCCCCAGGGATACGCTGCTCCCTACACCCCTCCCACCCATGCAAGAATTCTCCCCAGAGGGGCTGGAGCGATAGTACAGCACGTAGGGTGTTTGCCTTGTACCTGACTGACCCGGGTTCGAGTCCTGGAATCCCCTAGGGTCCCCCAAGCACTGCCAGGAGGGATTCCTGAGTGCATGAGCCAGGAGTCAGCCCTGAGCATTGCCGGGTGGGACCCAAAAAGAAAGAAAAGAAAAAAAGAGAGAGAAAGAGAGGAAGGAAAGAAGGAAGAAAAGAAGGAAGGAAGGAAGGAAGGAAGGAAGGAAGAGAGGGAGGGAGGGAGGGAGGGAGAAAGGAAGGGGGAGGGAGGGAGGGAGGGAGGAAGGAAGGAATGAAGGAAGAGGGGCTCGAGTGATAGCCCAGTGGGGAGGGCATTTTCCTGGCATGTGGCTGACCCGGGTTCGATTCCCAGTATCCCCTAGGGGTCCCCCGAGCACCGCCAGGAGGGATTCCTGAGTGCATGAACCAGGAGTCAGCCCTGAGCGTCACCAGGTGGGACCCCCAAAAATAAAGAAAAGAAAGAGAGAGAGAGAAAGAAAGAAAGAAAGAAAGAAAGAAAGAAAGAAAGAAAGAGGAAGGAAAGAAGGAAGGAAGGAAGGAAGGAAGGAAGGAAGGAAGGGAGGGAGGGAGGGAGAAAGAAAGAGGGAGGGAGGGAGGGAAGGAAGGAAGGAAGGAAGGAAGGAAGGGGAAGGAGAGAAAGGAAGGAAGGAATGAAGGAAGGAAGGAAGGAAGGAAGGAAGGAAGGAAGGAAGGGAGAGAGGGAGGGAGAGAGGGAGGGAGGAAAGGAAGGAAGGAAGGAAGGAAGGAAGGAAGGAAGGAAGGAAGGAAGGAAGGGGGGCTCGAGTGATAGCCCAGCAGGGAGGGCATTTTCCTGGCATGTGGCTGACCCGGGTTCGAGTCCCAGTATCCCCTAGGGGTCCCCTGAGCACTGCCAGGAGGGATTCCTGAGTGCATGAACCAGGAGTCAGCCCTGAGCGTCACCAGGTGGGACCCCCAAAAATAAAGAAAAGAAAGAAAGAGAGAGAGAAAGAAAGAAAGAAAGAAAGAAAGAGGAAGGAAAGAAGGAAGGAAGGAAGGAAGGAAGGAAGGAAGGAAGGAAGGAAGGAGGGAAAGAAGGAAGGAAGGAACAAGGGAATAAAGGGAGGGAGGGAAGGAGGAAGGAAGGAAGGAGGGAAAGAAGGAAGGAAGGAACAAGGGAATAAAGGGAGGGAGGGAGGGAAGGAGGAAGGAAGGAAGGAAGGAAGGAAGGAAGGAAGGAAGGAAGGAAGGAAGGAAGAGAGGAGCTAGAGTGATAGCCCAGCGGGGAGGGCGTTGGCCTGGCACATGGCTGACCTGGGTTCGATTCCCAGCATCCCCTAGGGTCCCCCAAGCACCGCCAGGACTCATTCTTGAGTGCATGAACCAGGAGTCAGCCCTGAGCATCACCGGGTGGGACCCCAAAAAAAGCAAAAAAAAAAAAAAAGAGGAATTCTCCCCAGAGTCTCACAGAGTGACACAATCCAAGAGTCCCACTCTCCTCCCAAGCCTCACTCCGCCAGGGTGGACCCCCCCACCGACTTTTACCGACCTCTGCCATGTCGGGGGCAGGGAGTGCTTCTCTGATGGGCATCTGGGTCTTCCGTAGACGGCTGGACTTGAGTCGTGGAGGACGGGACGTGTGTCCAGCTGGCCACACCCTGCAGACCAAGACAGCTCTGAGCTGCTCTCGTTCTGTGGACACCTCAGTGCTCCCTTGTCTTGAGTGGGGACCAGCGCCACCCCTCGCCGCATCCTCAAACCCCCCAGCCTGGCGTCAGGGTGGCACAGGTGGACAGAGGCCCAGAAGAAACCCAGCTGGGGACCCTTGGCATGTGGCCACGGTGCCCAGGGTTCCGAGTTACTCAGCGTCAGCAGCCCTGGAGTGGCCGGAAGCGGCGGTCAGCCTCGGGGTCAGCTGCCCCAGGCGATAAGGACCTCGAGATTGATGCGTGTGATGGCCATGTACTCTGGTGTGGGTCACAGGGTTGGGTACGGGGGGTCCCGGGACGTGGGTTCCGGGAGGCCTGTCCGCCGCCCCGTCAACTCTGCGTCCAGCGGGGGCTACGCTTGGGAACCATCTCTGTGGGCATCTATGTGTCCACCGGGACAGAGCTGGGACAACGTGGGCTTGGTCGGGCAATGGTGGAGGGAGGGACGGGGAGTCCCTGCCTGTCCACTCTCTCCTATTCATCCAGAAACTTCCTCCTCTGTCCAGGTGGGCGAGTCCAGAGTCCAGCGACGGCGGTCAGCCTGGCCGTCTACGAGACACGTCCCCCCACCCCAGCAGATGGTTTTAAGGGCAGAAGAGGGTCCCAGGGGCCCCACCCAGGTCGTGCTCCCCAGCTTGACTCTAGAATTCTAGTGTTCTAAGAAGCCCCCTCCCCACGCCCAAAGCCTCTCACCGACCTCCCTGGGGCAGAGACCCCCTGAGGCGGCGGCCGGCAGGCAGGAGTATTACGGACGCCGGCCCCCCATCCTGCTGGCCAAACCCAAGAGGAAACAGCCGCGTGGTCAGATGGACACAGGGCGGGTTGGGAGAGAGGGGCAGAGAGGGGACGTGGTTCTGATCCCCCATCTGATAAGGTGCTTGGGCCAGGCGGGCGGAAGAGAGATGTGGAGAGATTAAGGATTGGTCTAAGAGCGCCAAAGTCCCAGGAGGGTTCTCTGAAGCCAACAGAGAGAGAGAGAGAGAGAGAGAGAGAGAGAGAGAGAGAGAGGATGGAGAAAGAGCCTCGGAGAGAGAAAGAGATGGAGAGAGAGGAAAGGAGAGACAGGGAATGAGAGAGAGAGACAGAGAGAAAGAGATCTTGAAACAGAGACAGAGACAAAGATAATTCAGAGACAGAGAGAGACAAGTAAGTCTCTAAGACAAAGAGAGTCTTTGAAAGAAAGAATGAAAGAGAGATGACGCAGAAAGGAGAGCCTTGGAGAGAAACACACGGAGAGAGGAAAACATAGGCAGAGAAGGTGAGAGAAAGAGAGAGAGAGAGCTCAAAGCAGAGACAGAGACAAAGATAATTCAGAGACAGAGAAAGGAGAGATAAAGGTGACTCTCTAAGATAGACAAAGAGAGTCTTTGAAAGAGAGAAAGAGAGAGAGACAACAAAGAAAGGAGAGCCTCGGAGAGAGAAAGAGAGGAAGAAAGAGGAAAAGAGAGACAGGGAATGAGAGAGAGAGAGAGAATCTTGGAACAGAGACAGAGACAAAGATAATTCAGAGACAGAGAGAGACAGGTAAGTCTCTAAGACAAAGAGAGGGTCTTTGAAAGAAAGAGAGAGACGACGAAGAAAAGAGAGCCTTGGAGAGAAACACACGGAGAGAGAGAGAAGAAAATCGAGGCAGAGAAGGTGAGAGAAAGAGAGAGAGCTTGAAACAGACAGAGACAAAGATAATTCAGAGACAAAGGAGAGACACAGGTGACTCTCTAAGAGAGACAAAGAGAGTCTTTGAAAGAGAGAGAAAGAAAGAGAGAGACAGCGGAGAAAGGAGAGCCTTGAAGAGAGAAAGAGATGGAGAGAGAGGAAAAGAGAATCAGGGAATGAGAGAGAGGGAGAGAGAAAGACCTTGAGACAGAGACCATTCAGAGACAGAGAGAAAGGAGAGAAACAGGTAAGTCTCTAAGACAAAGAGTCTTTGAAAGAGAGAGAGAGAAAGACAGAGATGGAAAAAGGAGGGCCTCAGAGACAGAAACACATGGAGAAAGAGGAAAAGAGAGACAGGCAATGAGAGAGAGAGAAAGAGCTTGGAACAGAGACAGAGACAAAGATAATTCAGAGACAGAGAGACAGGTAAGTCTCTAAGACAAAGAGACAGTCTTTGAAAGAAAGAGAGAGACGACGAAGAAAGGGGAGTCTTGAAGAGAAACAAGAAGAG